ACTCCGAAAAAAAACTATGTTATGCAGAAAAATAAACTGAAGAACTTTTGCCTCAGGGTAACATCAAAATTCTTCACCAAAATTAAAATAAAAATTAAAAAGTAAAAATATTTTTTTTATTTTCATTTTTTTGGCTCGGCCGGGCAAGTGACCCCGGGCCACTCTGGTAGCCTAGGTGTGAAGTGTTACGATCCTGGTCATTCCCACAGTGCAAATTCACAATGAAGGACAATGCCACCCAATTGCGAAAGAAATGAAAGCACTTGCGAAGAGATAGAGGCCAAAGAAGAGAGAAAGGAGAAGAAGAAGAAGAAGAAGAAGAAGAAGTAGAAGAAGAGGAAGAAGAAGAAGAAGAAGAAGAAGAAGAAGAAGAAGAGGAAGATGTACACCAGCAAGAGCAATGACAAATCCCCCTTCTCTCTCCACCTTCCTCCTCCTCCTTCACTTCGCCAATCTTATTCTTCTTTCAATAATAATAATAATAACAATGAGTGGATGAACCAGAATCAATATCCGAAGTTCCCTCTTACTGCTGACACAACAACAGGTCCACCATAGCTACGGCTTCCCTCCTCCTTCCTCCTCCCAGGCTATGGCGATCTACTAAGGGCCCTGCCCTCCTGTCCAAAGGACAACCCAAAGCAGCTATGGCGCTGCACTCCTGTCCAAAGGACAACCCAACGCAGCTATGCCGCCGCTGGCTAAGCCGCCATGCCTGACTCTGCCTCAAGCTTCCTTGGTGCGGCACTACCCCAACTGGGGCCTTCCAGATGCAGAGCCCAACAAGGTGATGAAGATGGTGTCCACCATAGCCAGGTAGGTGCCTCGCCACTCTCCTCCTTCGCCCCCTTCTTCCTCCTCCTCAAGCTGGGCTGCTCGCCATAGCCAGGCTGAGCGCCCAGCTGCCCTTCACCTCCAGGCAGCGCTGCCCCAGTCCAGCGCTTGGCTCAGCAGCATTCGCCAATCCTTGCATACCGCAAAAGAGGAGGAGCTGCTTGCTCCTCCAGAAGATATAGCGGCCTACTGGCCTCTTGGGCGGTGACTTCCTAGGCCGAGCGGCCTCCCAGCAACCGGTACCTCCTCCCTTTCGAAGGAAAACATCATTGCAGGTTTTGCTATTGTCCGAACAGGCCCTAGACTTAGGCTACTTGGACTGGTACCGGCCTACCTCTAACCTACCACTACTGGGCCTCTAAAAATGCCAACTTTTGTCTTCTTCTGCTCGGCCTCCGGTACCCGACACCCCTACCACTACTTGAGTGGTACCGGCCTACCTGCTACTTGAGTGTTTTTCCCCGCTGCTCTAAGTGTCGCGGGCCTACCCCCGCTACTTGAGTGTTTTCCCCGCTGCAACCCTCAAAGCAGACTTGGAAACCACGGCAGAATGCGGGAATCTCAGCAAGGCATTCATTCCAGCGGCAAATCCCAAAAACCAGTAGTGTTCTCAGTCTGTGTTTTGGCGGGTCATTACACTACCCCCCTCTCAAGAGCCAGGTCCCTTCGAGCGAGTAACTCATTCAAAATCGACACAAAATGCGTCATAGGCTTAGATTAGAAAGAGAGATTAATAAGACCCTGAGGAGTGAGTTTTGCAGAAAACTTAGCAGTCTGTCCATCAACGATCTGTTGTTCATATGCGTTAACAGCACGGGGAGCATTCTTTAGCAGCTCTTTTCGGTCGATCCAAAAAAACTCGTTCAACGGGTGATAGAGGACGTGAACCTTGTACTGTCTGTTCCTCCCTCTTCCTTCATGGTAAATAATTTTGTCTATCTCATGGCCGTCGTCGATAGGACGAGGTATCATAGGATCTCGGAAGGGAAAAGTCTCATCATCGATGTGTGGAAACAGTTTGCACGCATGAAAGACCGGATATGTGCGCAGATGAGGAGGCACGTCAATCACATACGAACGACCAAAATCATCCCCAGCCACCTTTAGAACCTGTCACAGGCCATAGTACAATGGAAGAAGCTTTCGTGATACGCCCTCTTCGTCAGAAAACTCAAACATTCTGACCCAGACATAACTTCCTACTTCGAAGTTCCCTTCTTTGCACGACTTGTTAGCATGTTTGATCATGGCATGCTGACGCTTGTTCATTGCTGCGATAGCAGCTTTGAGCAAGTGTGCATACTTGGCATTGTAGCCAGGCATGCCGGGCGTCAAACCAAGGGACCGTTCGGGAACAAATAGGAGAGAGGATTGTGCAGCTCCCAACCATATTGCAACTGATTCGGTGTCACGCCAGTTGCAGAGTGAATGGAGTTGTTGTACAACCCCTTCACTTTGTGTAACTCCTTGTCCCACATGTTCTGATCTGGAACAATTAACGCGCAAAGTAGTTGAATGACAGTCCGGTTGATTACCTCGGCCAATCCATTGGCTTCGGGGTGTCAACCAGAAATCTTGTTGAGTTTAATGCGTAGGTCTGCGAAGTGAAGTCCTTCCAATCAGCACTAATGAACCTGGTGTCCCGATCACTCACAAGAGTTTTCGGGGTCCATACTGCAAAATGTACTGCTGGTGAAATTCTTCGATCACAAGCTCAGTTGGTGCATGAGGAGGTAGAGGAATAAAATTCAGAAATTTGGAAAAGTGATCCACAATGACCATGACTTGTGAATGTCCTCCCTTGCTCACCTTCCCCATGTCTGTGAAATCAATAGAGACCGACTCACCGGGCCCATTAGGAATTGGGAGGGGTTTCAGCAGGCCATAAGGCCTATGCCTATGGACCTTGGTTCTTTGATAGACTTGACATTCAACAATGAATTTCTGAGCAGATCCCTTCATTCCCGGCCAATCAAACTGCTGCAAAAGACTTTCGTAAGTCTTCTCAAAGCCGAAGTGTCCACTCCGACCATGTGCCAAATCCAAGAAATGAGTCCGGAGAGGCTCATGGTTGGGTACACACAAACGATCAAACTTCCCATACCGGCGGAATACAAGACCCTCGCACTCATGAAAATCAGGCTGACTGCTAGGGTCAGCCTTGAGCTGCTCAAGGATGGGACTAAGGTCCGGATCCTTGGCAGTGTGTTAGACCAGATCCTCCTTCACTTTCCTTCGGAGGTCATACGAGCTCACAAGGCAAGTCAAAAACTCCGGATGACGCAACAAAGCATCAACAACACGATTATAACAGCCTTTCTTATGCTTCAGTTCTAAATTGTAAACATCAATGTCATGCAGCCAGCGGGTCAATGTCGGAGAGAAATCAGTTTGCGTTTTAATCCACTGCAAGGTCCGATGATCTTAGTAGACCTTGAAGAAGGGACCCAAGTGGTAGTGCTTCCAATGTGTGAGCGCTTCTCGCAACGCATAGAGCTCACGCATATATGTGGAGGTAGCTACCTTGTGGTTGGGCATGCGTTTGCTGTAAGCGGACGTAGGCCATCGCCATCATCTTGTTGCAGCACTACACCAATCCCATACTGGCTCGCGTCCGTAGTGACCACGAACGTGAGGTTGGGATCCGCAATGCGGAGCACAGGATGACTTACCAAAGCCTCTTTCAAGGCTTGAAACGCAGTCTCGCACTTCTCACACCACGCATAGGCAACATTTTTGCTTGTTAGTCTCGAGAGTGGGTGAGCAATGACATAAAATTTGGGCACAAACTTCCGGTAATATGAAGCCAAACCAAGGAAAGAATGCAGTTTGCGTACGTTTGCCGGTTGAGGTCACTTTCGTATGACCTCAACCTTGGTTGCCTCCGGCTCAAGGTCGTTTGCAGACAACCGGTGCCAAAGATAGATGACGTTGTCCCTTCCAAACTCAGATTCCTCTAAGTTGAGGTGCAGTTGTGTCTCCTTGAGGACTTGCAAAACCTCCTCAAGGTGTTTGACGTGCTCTTCCATGGACTTGCTGAAAATCAAGATGTCGTCAAGGTAAACAACCACAAACTTGTTGAGTTGATGGCGGAGAACCTTGTCTAGCATTCGTAAGACCGAAGGGCATAACAATGAATTCGTACAACCCATCGCGTGTTTTGAATGTAGTTTTGTGCTGGTCGCTCGTATCAATTTCAATGTGGTGGTAGCCAGACTTGAGGTTGATCTTGGAGAAGACCTTGCACCCACCTGCAGCATCTAGCAGATCGTCTATGCGAGGCAAGGGATGAGCATTCTTTCGGGTGATACGGTTTAGGCCACGATAGTCAATACACATCCGGAGTTTGCCTCCTTTCTTAGGCACAAACAAGACAGGTGCACCGAACTCAGACTCGCTAGGCCTAATCCATCCACGATCAATCATATCATCAATTTGTCTCCTCAACTCCTCCAACTCGCCTTGTCCCATACGGTAGACGCAGCCCTTTGGAGGAACACTCCCTTCTATTATCTCGATCTTGTGTTTGACCGGACGCTCGGGAACTCCCCGAGGTTCAGCCAGAACTTGAGGAAATCGATCTAATAGACGGCGGATGTTTGTTGGGACTTCCGGTGGAGGATCATCCTCATCAGGAGAGAGAAAATCAGATCGAGAATTTACAACAATTACAACCGAATTTGAAGTACTTGGATCAGAAGTAGACTGATTTTTTACAGTAGAAGTAGATGGAACAAAAGTAGAGGTAGTAGAAGTAGAATTACTTTCCGAGGCAAAAAATGCAGCAAAAGTAGAAGGCACATGGAGAGGCTTTACAAGAGCTCCATGCACATGCTCAACTTCCTTGCGCCTGTGCACTGATTTGCAGAATTCGTTTGCACTCAAAAGAGTCACAGGGGACCCGCGCGTCTCGTCCAATCGAACGGTACGCTCGTTCCCCTTGGCATCACGCACCACGAACTGAGTATCCGCCCACGTGGTCCTTAGACAATGAGCCTTTAACCAGCCCAAGCCAATGACCGTGCCGAAAGGACACTTGTCCATGACATAAAAGTTCAGCTCATGTGTGACTGTGCGATCCTTGTCAAAAGTGATGTGCACACCTTTGACAACATATGTTGAGGTGACAACCTCTTGGTTGCCTACCTGGGTCTGACAAGGGTTCTGCAATTCCACTTGCTTCATTCCCAGGCCCGCCTTACGAATCCCGTTGGGAGAAAAGAAGTTAGTCGTTGAGCCAGTATCAATCAACACACGGATGTATCGGCGGTTAATGAGCAGCTTAAAGAAGATCAGTTCTACACTCCCTTGAACACGGTGTTGCTGCTTGAGCTACAGCCAATGTTCCAGGTGAGAGTGGAAGTTGACTTCCTTAGTCTCCTCCAAAGGCTCAGTGTGAAGTACTTGAACTGCAACAACCTAGGATTCAGCATCAGTCCGGGCTTCAAGAGCAGGTTGTTGATCAGATTCAGGCTCCTTGGAGGGCCTGCAACTGACTGTTCAGCTTCCCTTGTTGTAGAGAGTGTTGATGACACTTCTACGCCCTTTACCTGTTTCCCTGCAGACGATAGCATTCCTGCACATCGTGCCCAGACTTTTGACAATGCAAGCACACGTGCAATTTGGATCTTCTCTCCCATTCTTTTTTACCAATGCGCAGGGCTTCCCAAGACTTGGTGGAAGCATCCTCCAGTTTCTCAAGGATCTTTGCATTCTTGGGGAGGTGTGCTATAGTTCCCTTACCTGAACCACGGTTAGGCCCCTTGCATGAAGCAGTCTTTTTAAAGGCATTGCATTTCTCTTCAGTATTCATGTCAGACTCAAGGGCTGATGTAGAACAGCCCACGCCGGAGCCCGACTCTAGATCGTCATCTAAAGACAGATCATCCACATAGGACTGATCCTCAGCCTCCCGAAGTTCATGCAGGGCAAGCTGGTTGCTGCTTCCGTACCACTTGCGTTGTGAGGTTCTACCTGCAGCGGGTGTCTTCGCACGCCTGGCGAGGTCCTTGGCTTCTAGATTGACTAGATCCGTCAGTAGCTCACACCAAGTCGTATGGTCCTTGAGTCCTAGTCGGGAGACATAGCCTTCAGGGGCCACTCCCATTACTACATCCATGCAAGACACGTCAGTCCATCCCAGGTTTGGAGTAGTGAACAGACCAGTCAAGTGCTGCTCCAAAGCCTGCATGGAAGTCCTCCACTTTTGCCCCTTGAGGGCCTCAAGCTTTAGCCTTGCCTTGAGCGCAGCGTGCTTATCTTGATACTGCGCGATGAGGAGGTCCTCAAGAATATGTACAGGAGTTGCCTTCAACCACTCAGTCAGGTCAATCGTCTCATAACCTGCAGTAAGAGTTTGGAGTTCTATGAAACTCCGTACGGCGGGCTCAGTATTTGTGCCCATGATCATGCTTCGGTCTTCATGCGGTGTTCGCAGTACCTCGAAGTATGAGCGCATTGAGCTGATCCAAGAGGTGATGTTCCCCTTCCCGTCGTACTTGGACGGCAGTGTGGCCGCCCTCTTGTCCACTACAGTACCGTTGTATTGTATGTCAGTAAGAATTGCGGCGTTTTGGGCTGATGTTCCTGCATTTGGGACTAGGACCAGTGCCGAACTGTCGGCGCTGCCGCTTGAGGAGCTGACACTGGTTCCTGCACTCGTCACAGTTCCACTTGCTCTCGACACGAGGACTGTGTTAGGGTGAGAGACTGGGACTGCAGCAGGACGAGGATTAGGAGGACGGGGGGCAGGCAGTTGGGACTGTTTGAGGCTGACTATCTCAGCCTGCAGCTCTTGGATCCGCTGCTCTAAAGCTGTCACACGGGACTCGGGATCTTCCAAGGTCCGCAATTGAACCAAGGCTAGCGTCTCTTGGAACCGGTCGTCACTAGATTCCGGAACCTCGATGAGGGTCACTTGTGTAGCCATACTTGTGGCTTTGGCTGCTGCCTTTGCCTCCCTCTCTTTGTGCATTGCGTCCTCATAAAGTTTCTGAAAGAAAGGTTTCTCGCTCTCGGCCGCTGCATCCAGCATGGCCTTCCATTGCTCGAATGTGATTTCTGCCATGCCGGAGGATAGGGCGTCAGTAGATCTCTCAAGAGGGGCCCGCAGACGAACACTCCTCTTACCCCTCCTCACACTCTCAAAAGGAACACCTTCTCTCTCCCTTCTCTCTCTTTCCGCTTTCTGCGCACGCGTCTCAATACCGGACATAGATAGTTCAGATAAAAGAAAAACAGTAAGTCACAAAGAGTAGAAGGTAGAACTCCTAGCCGGAGCGGCAATTCATTTGGACTTAGAGAATGGCATTCACGCAATAGAAAAAAAATAAAAATAAATAAAAATAAAAAAGAGGACTGACTTAACGAACGGGCCCGATCAGATTAGCTGAACATCCCCTCTTGTCTAACCTGACAAGGAACATGTACCACAATAAGTCAGCCGAAGAAAACTAACCGCAGCAATGGAGATTTCGAGGGGTGCAGACAGTCGCCGAGCCAGACGCGGGGTAGTATGTGAAAACAGGCAGTAAGACCAGTCAAGATCCCCTTGAAAGGAATGCCCTTACTAGTCGTGTATCCCTCCAGATTCAGCACGGCAAAGAAATGCGTTGACGACAACAAATTTGGTCTTAAAGGTCCTGTCCCATTGGGACTGGTCCCATTGAGTCCCGAAGGGTCCCAAGTAGGTCGTGGACCAGGTCCAACGAGATAGGTGTACCAAGTCAGTCCCAAACTGCCTCTACCGTATTGAAAAGGAAAAGACAACTTTCAGCAAGAACTTACCCCTACAGCCGTTCAGAAGTGAAAAGACAATGCACCGTCGAAAGATTGTCATTGAGAACAAGATACATCATCCATCCATCCATCAGGTGAGAAAGCAATCCACATGCTAACACACACAACCAAGACCGCAAAGAAGAGGAAGAGAGGCCAGCACACCCCTGCAGGCCATGAAGCACCAAGCAACCTACCACGGGCATAACCAGGTCACACGACACTTACTTGTGAGGCCCGGCCTCCAAAGATGGACAACGACTCGCCCCCCTCTCTCATAGGTCCTCCTGACCCCTAGCTACCACTACACGAAGTGTCCTAGCATGACTAAAAGGGCCTCCCTACACCCCTATTACAACGTCGGATCCTTTGTCGATGTCTGAAGACCAAAGTAGCAACTTGCAGCTCTTCGATGCAGATATGGCAGCCTCTGATCAAGTCTCCCTCTTGAGGGGAAGCCCAAAAGTCACTCAAATGTCTTCTTGAAGTGCAGATTCCAGGTGCGAGTACCTCTCCCTCTCTACTCCCTCTCGCTTACTCCAATCAGCCTCCTTTGTGTCTCGCCACCCCATCCAAGCACACAAGCAACCTGGTCAGGTCTGATGTCGACCCTACATGACCTAACCAGGTGGGGGCAGTATCCACATACCTCACTGCCCCTCTTAACCCTAACTTCCCAACCCTAATCCGAGATAAGGTTAGCCCTAACCTAATTTGGAATTAGGTTTAGGGTGACTAACACCTCTCGCCAGCAAGTAAGTCCGCTCCGATACCAATTGTTCCTGGTCATTCCCACAATGCAAATTCACAATGAAAGACAATGCCACCAATTGCGAAAGAAATGAAAGCACTTGCAAAGAGATAGAGACCAAAGAAGAGAGAAAGAAGAAGAAGAAGAAGAAGAAGAAGAAGAAGAAGAAGAAGAAGAAGACGAAGAAGAAGATGCACACCAGCAAGACCAATGACAAATCCCCCTTCTCTCTCCACCTTCCTCCTCCTTCTTCACTTCGTCAATCTTATTCTTCTTCCAATAATAAGAATAATAACAATGAGTGGATGATCCGAAGTTCCCTCTTACTGCTGAACACAACAACAGGTCCACCATAGCTATGGCTTCCCTCCTTCTTCCTCCTCTCACATGCCTAGGCTACGACGGTCTACTAAGGGCCCTGCCCTCCTATCCAAAGGACAACCCAAAGCAGCTATGGCGCTGCACTCCTGTCCAAAAGACAACCCAAAGCAGCTATGTCGCTGCTGACTAAGCCGCCATGCCTGACTCTGCCTTGAGCTTCCTTGGTGCGGCACTACCCCAACTGGGGCCTTCCGGATGCAGCGCCCAACAAGGTGATGAGGATGGTGTCCACCATAGCCAGGTAGGTGCCTCGCCGCTCTCCTCCTTCGCCCCCTTCTTCCTCCTCCTCAAGCTGGGCTGCTCGCCATAGCCAGGCTGAGCGCCCAACTGCCCTTCTCCTCCAGGCAGCGCTGCACCAGTCCAGCGCTTGGCTCAGCAGCATGTCGCCAATCCTTGCATACCGCAAATGAGGAGGAACCTCCGGAAGATATAGCGGCCTACTGGCCTCTTGGGCGGTGACTTCCTAGGCTGAGCGGCCTCCCAGCAACCGGTACCTCCTCCCTTTCGGAGGGAAACATCATTGCAAGCTCTGCTATCGTCCGCACAGGCCCTAGACTCAGGCTACTTGGACTGGTACCGGCCTACCTCTAACCTACCACTACTGGGCCTCTAAAAATGCCCTCTTTTTGTCTTCTTCTGCCTGGCCTCCAGTACTCGACACCCCTACCACTACTTGAGTGGTACCGGCCTACCTGCTACTTGAGTGTTTTTCCCCGCTGCTCTAAGTGTCGTGGGCCTACCCCCGCTACTTGAGTGTTTTCCCCTCAAAGTCACGGCCACAGGTAACCGGCACAGCGGGGCCTTTCAACCAACAAGTACCCTTGCGGGTCACACACACACTCAGCTGACAAGCACTCAGACAGGCATGCAAACCAGTAGGCACGCACACACACATAGACTTGGAAACCACAGCAGACTGAGGGAATCTCAGCAAGGCATTCATTCCAGCGGCAAATCCCAAAAATCAGCAGTGTTCTCAGTCTGTGGTTTGGCGGGTCATTACAAAAGAAATTAATTTCGACGAAGATTAATTGAATTTATTCAAAAATAATTGAGGAGTTCAAAAATATATTTTACAAGAAAAAAATAAAAATGTGAGATTTCAAAAAAAGAATTGGTCAACTCCGAAGTATTTCCGAATTAAATTTAACTTCGGATTAATTAAATTTATTTGAAAAGAATTAGCAAAAGAAAGAAAAAAAAAATAAAAATATATTTTGCAAGAAAAACATCAAAAAAAAGGAAAAGGTTGAAATTCCAAATTAATTCGGAAGTAATTCCAAGTTAATTTCGAATTAATAATTGATGAATTCGAAAGGTGCAAGGAACCTGACTGCTCACAGCTTGCTTGAGTGCATCAAACCGCATGCATACATGTCATCACACGTACAAAGTGGTCTCACACAAAACCAGATTGAGAGGAGATAAGAACCAAGTAGCGCAGCTTATATTATCAATGTCACTTAATACAAAGAGTATCATGAGTTCCAGACTTCAGCGCCAACAAGAGGTAAGTCTCCCTCGTCATACAACAGCATGGGACCTAGCTCAGCCAGCGTCCTCCTTTAGATCACAAGTGTGGCGCCAACAGGTAAGTGTCCACCATATCCAGAAACACTCCCTGTCTTCTCTCTCTTGCTCTCTTCTCTCTCAATAACTCTACCTTGGTTCTCTTCCCTTCACTATGCATGCACACTCTCACCTACGAAGATCTACTCTGAATGTCACTCACTGATAACCCACTACTGACTATCCCTACTACTACTAACATAGGCTGGCGCAGTTATGGCTTCCCTGCAGCCAGCGCCCATCCTCATTTCCTCTCTGGCGCAACTCCTTCTTCAGCGCCCAACTCTCCGCACTATAGCGCACAAGTGCCTCAACACTTCCACGCATCAATGCCCATGAGAATCTGTCTCTAGGGGAGGCTGCCTCGTTTCTTATAGTGCTGGCCTCCCCTGGCGAGGTCTGAATTTTGTCTGTCCTGGTCCTTTCCCAGTCCCAGCCTCTGTGTATGTGTCCCAGATCCCTTTCCTTTAGGGGTTGCTGCTGCTGCGGCCTTCAGGCCTTGATTTCGGACTCCCAATCTGAATCTTTGAATCCGGACAGGAACTTAACTCTTTGACTTATGTTAGACAGACACTCTTCCTGCACGAACAAACACTCTTCCTGCACGAACAAACACATTGACTGCATGTACAGACACATCCCTTGTTTGAATAGACATGACTTGCATTGCCCCTGGCGAACAGATGTGACCTCCAAATCTAAACATGGTGACTGTTTGTCCAAAGCCCAACCATGACCTTTGACATTGTCTTTACTTTAGCCAAGATGTGACCTTTGACCCAGAGAACATGTTTTTTAACCTGCTTTCACGAATTAGGCTCTGGGCGAGGGACCCCCAATATGTTGCTTTCGTCGAACAGGGGCTGAATCGGGTAAAGGCCCTTTTACTCTCGCCGGCCTAGATTCGAACTCCTCTGAGAAAATCTTCATCTATCAATAATATTTATTCCTCTTTTAGCTCTTTCATACGCAGATACAATGTGCGGTGCAGACTCAAGTAAATTTTCTCTTGTAAACCAGCGCTCTTCACTTGGGTCCTGATAAGCGAATCTTACTTTATATTGTCGCTGGGGCCTGCCTCTTCGTCCGGTTTGGAAAGTGTTTTCAGCGACAATCTTATCCACATCGTATTTCCCATTCATACTAGGAGGTATCGCTGATCTGCGACTGGGAAACAATTCATTTGTCACGCAAGGTAGAAGCTTTGAGGCGTGGAACACCGGATACTTATGCAAATGTAGAGGAATCTCAACTACATAAGAAGGTCCATCTACCTCTCCAACCACATCAAGAATTTGCCAAGGTCCTCTGTAGGCGGGTAGTAACTTCTGAGAAATGTTCTCCTCAGGAGCAAACTCTTTAGACTTAACCCGCACTAAATCACCTACACCGAATTGAGATGGTCTTCTATGCTTATTTGCCTGTTCCACCATTTCATGTTGTGCCTTCACTATATTTTCTTTTACCTTTTCAATACCTCGCTGATACTGTATTGCAAACTCACTTGTCCCTAGAGGAAGCTTATGTACTTTATCCGGATTTAAGCGATCGATGGGTCTACGTGGTCGCCATCCCAAATGCAGTTCCATTGGAGTCCTGCATGTAGATAGGTGAATAGAGTTGTTATAGGCACTAGCAACTTTGGGCAAATGTTCATCCCAGTCAATCTAGTCGGGACGGATGTACATGCGCAATGTCTGCTGCAAAATCTTATTCATTTGCTCAGTCTGGCCGTTTGTCTCAGGGTGTCTACCTGATGACATAGTTAACTTAGAGCCATAGACATTTATGAGTTATTGCCATTGTTCACTCGGGAAACGTGAATCTCTGTAACTTACAATCCTTAAGGGATGTCCATAATCCTTTACCCAATGGTCAAAGAACTCTCGGATTACTAATTCAGTCTTTGCTTCCGCTGGTAATGCTACAAATACAGCATACTTACTGAATCTGTCAACGATGACCATGACTTGCGTCTTTCCATTCCTGCTTTTCACCTTGGTATCCATAAAATCAATGGATATGGAGTCTCCTGGACCTGTTGGAATCGGCAAAGGTCTTAGTAGCCCAAGGGGAGGTTGAGTAGTAGTGCTCTTGTTTCTTTGGCACACTTGACAACCTTGTACATATGCGATGTAGTCAGCTTTCATGCGAGGCCATGTGTAGGAACGCAACAGGCCTGCATAAGTCTTCTTCCAGCCAAAATGGCCTTCAGTATCATGACACTCCCCCAAGATCAAGCTTTTGATCTCTTCCACATTTGGAATGCAAAGTCTGTCATGCAAGTCTGTTTGCTCAAACAACAGTCCCTGTGTAACTCGGTAGTTAGGAAACTCTTGTGGCGGTTCCTACACACGTTTAATCATAGCGCCATAGACAGGATCTGTGGAATACGCATTTCTAATTTTATCTTGCAAGTCGATGCCCATACCTAAGTATGTTACAACGCCACCGAAAAAGTCAGATCTTCGACTCAATGCGTCAACAACAACGTTATACTTACCCTTGACTGGCTTTAATTCAAAGTCGTATTGATCAATCTCAGCGGCCCACCTTGTCAATTTAGGTGTCATCCGGGCTTGCGTTTTAAGCCAGCGAAGTGTCTCATGATCTGAGTACACTTTAAAGCGGCGTCCTAAGAGATAGTGTCGCCAATGATCTAGAGCCTCCCGAAGAGCATACAACTCTCTCTCATACGTGGAAGCGGCGACCTTCTCATTAGGCAGTCGTCGGGACAAACTCTACAGGTCTGTATCCATTACCATCATCTTGCTGGAGTACAACACCTATCCCGTACTGACTAGCGTCGGTTGTGACGACAAAGGGCAAAGAAGGATCAGCAACCTTAAAAAACGGATAGTTAATCAGACATTTCTATAGGCGTTTGAACGAAGCCGTTCAGTCTGAATCCCACTTCCAGATGGTTTCTTTCTTAAGCAATCTGTGAAGGGGCGTAGCGATTATCGTGAAGTGTTTAACGAACTTCCGATAATAGTTGGCCAGCCCAAGGAACGACCGCAATTAGGCCAATCCCGAATTGCTGCAATTTTTGTATCTTCCGGTTTGATACCATCACCATCAAGTACATGCCCCAAATACAAAACCTGACGCTTAGCCCAATCACACTTCTTCGGGTTTAACTTCAATTTTGCTTCACGCAACTTATTTAGCACAAGACGAAGGTGCTCGCAATGTTCTTTTAAATCCTTACTAAAAATCAGAATATCATCGAGATATATAACCACAAATTTATCAAGCCATTCACGAAAAAGCTCATTCATTGTTCTTTGGAAGGTTGCAGGTGCATTCGTAAGACCAAAGGGCAACATCACAAACTCATTGTGCCCGTACCTTGTTCGAAAGGCAGTCTTCTATTGGTCTTGTGGCTCTACTTCAATTTGATGATAGCCAGACTTCAGATCAATCTTAGTGAAGTACTTGCTACCCTGCACTCGATCCAACAAATCATTTATCCTTGGTAATGGCTCAACATTTTTGACTGTTATATCATTAAGTCTTCTATAATCTATACACATGCGTACCCCGACATCTTTCTTTGGTACGAATAGCACAAGCGCACAATAGGGCGAGGAGCTAGGTCTGATCCACCACCTTTCCAGCAATTCATCAAGCTGGGCTCGCAGTTCATCTAACTCTTTAGGTGACATCCGATATATAGGCCCCTTAGGAATCGAGCTTCCTGGTATGATTTCGATGCGGTGTTTGATTGGTCGTTCTACCACACCGCTTGGGGTCTCTGCCACATCTGCGAATTCTTTCAAAATCTTTTCAATCTCAAGGGATTTTGCCTCTTCTTTAGCTTCACCTTCTTTCACCGGGCGCACATATGCAACACAAACTTGATCATACAGGTTATACTTTTTCACATGGCGGACGAACGCGGGGGCACTCATACAACAATGAGCTAAGCTGCTTTCCTTACCTGATTCATGAAAAAGGCGGATCTTCTTCTTTCCACCTTGCGGACTAGGGAGCCAACACTCATGGTCCCTTAACTTCACATCCGCATCTGCAACTTCACCCCAATCCATGCCTAGGAGAATGTCAAAAGGAAGATTATCTTCCACCAAGAAAGTCAGAGAGTGGAGAACGCGTTCCACCTTCCCCTCTGCTTCGAGCCGGAAGTATATCCTGAACCCTTCAACATACTTATCCATTACAATTATTGTACTATTAGCTAACTTACTTACTATCGACTCATCTAATTGCTTTACCTTAATCCCGAGACGCAGCTTTTGCAAACCTTTCCTACTTATGTAGTTGTGTGTTGACCCTGTGTCAACCATTCCAGCAACTCTTACTTTATTTACTTCAAGATCTGCAATTATCAACTGTCCTCTTCGTGTTTTCATTTCAGTCCAGGCTTGGCGACGAGCGGCCAACTCATCACCCATGACAGCGAGGGATCCACCTAGAGAGGTACACACACTTACTACCTCTGGACAGTGAACTAGGTGGGGACTGACTTCCTCTTCAGTTTCTGCCAACGGAACCTTCGGATGGGAGGATGTCTTTCTTTCTACATCCGAAGTTCCCGTAGAGACAACTGAGACCCCTACTGGCTGTTCCCTTTTAGTATTTTATAGTCAGGGCAATAGGGAACAATGTGGTTGGGGTCACCACATTTGAGGCACTGATCAACGACTTTTCTTTCTTACCAAACCTTTTATGTGATTCCCAATTGCTTCCAAGGCTCCCATTCGGGCAGACCTGGATGGGGTGGATATGGTTTATCCCAATTTCCATACCACGTGCCTCTTCCTCTTCCCCAGGTAGAATATGAACCCCGACCACCTTGCGAGGGACCTTTGCCCCTTCCACCCATGTAGTAGCTTCCTTCGCCACCACCCCTCTGGGTACCGGGTCCTCTTCCACCGCGTCCATGGCCTCCTCTTTCTCGGCCTCGTCCTCTTCCTTGTCGCCCTCCCCCGCGGGCTGCAACGGCCTCGTAGCTCCCCTCCTGAGCTACCGGACCGCTGGGTCCTTCCTCAAGACCATAGTCTATTTGGTCATAGGAAAGAGTTTCGACACCTCCTTCTTCAAAGGTCAGAAGGAGGTTGTCCTTCCCAGGTATGTTCCCTGAGATTGTGCGGTTCTGCCACTTCTTTCCCGCTTGCAGATCTTTCCAATAATGGCAGTAATTAGCTTCAGCTAGGAAGCCAGCATGATCTATAGCGATCTTGCTGAACTTCTCGTAAGTCGTCCCTTCTTCTTTTGAGCGGGGATAAAGTTGCGTACGGAGAGGATCAGGAAGTGCTCTTGCGAAGTTGTTGAGTATTTGGGCAGGAGTTAATCCATGTTCTGCGCATTGCAAGAGTTCGTCCATTGTTGCTTTGAGTGCAGACGCACTCTTCCATTTTCGATCTGCGATGTTTAGAATTAACATTTATGTTCTGCAAGCTAAATCTTTATCTTCAAACCGTTCTCTGACAACTTTAAAGAAATCTTCAATTCTAGTCTATTGGGAATATCCAATCATAGTGTCACAGTTAGCTTCTTTTTGCAACGAAATGGCGAAGCTCATCGCATCGCCAGCCATACACGAAGTGACCATCAGAACTCTATCCCAATAGGGTATGTGCTAACCGTATACATATGATTCTACGGTCGCGATCCAATGTAGAACACTCTCCTCCTTCTTGTCGGTGTAAGTCCGGGGCACTTTAACTTTTATTTTTCTAACATCGGTATCTTTATCATCTCGCAGCACTCCCTTTCCTTTTCTATCTCCATCGCCTCCATCTCCGTCTCCATCACCACCTTCCCCTCCTCTTGCATTGCTACCCTGAATTATCTTCTCAATTACGGCTGGAGTGAAGGTTTGTGTGATGTGGTTATCTAACTTTTGAATATAAGATTGAATGTGCAGATCCACATCTTTGGCGGACTTTTGCAGAAAGGTATTCCAGACCCCTTCAAACTCGTATTGGTGGCTTTCAACTTTTTGCAGGGTCCGGTTCATTGTGGCTACCTCTTGCTTGGTATGAAGGACTGTTTCAGTCAAGAGCGCAAGTTTTTCTTCAGTTGCCGCCTGTTTGTCTTTCTGTGCTTGCAGCTCGCTTTGCAGTCTTGCCCCCTCTGTTTGTAATATTTTCCTTTCGTCAAGTTTTTGTCGCTTTGCTGCTAACATTTTATTGTTGCAGCTCCGCGCGTTTTTCTTCAAGCATGAGGTCCCTTTCTTTCTGGTCTGTAACGTTAGCTAATCTTGCAATGAACGTGTCCCTTTCTTCTTCTGTTTCTTCAAGTGTATCGCTGGTATACGCTTACTGGTCGTACCAGTCCAGCGGTAACAATTAGTGCAGAGCATCCTGAATTCTAGGAGTCAGAGAAATTCCAGAGTGCCAGCAGCAAATGGCATAAGACATTTCTGACTAAGCGCTCTGCCTTGTGATCATGGTCAGTCTTTAGAGAATACAAGAGAACCACAAAAGGACAGCACAAGTGAAAGAAACAGGAAAAAAGGATAAATGTGGCTCATCACCCAGCAGACAGGGAAGATAAGATGATATGCCAAACAAAACATTTCTCTTTTTTTAAGATCAAGCAACCTTACCCATCTGAGCCCTCTGTACCGCTGAAAAATGGGTAAGCACCTCCCTTTAAAGTTTAAACCCCTTTAAGAAATAAAGACCCCTGCTCCCCCAATGAACAACACTGGAAAATGAAAAAAGAGGTCAGCAGTGTAAGCTTACCCATCTGACCACTCCGTACCATTGCAGAATCAAATTTTAGTGACAGGACCCACTGCCACTATGTTCATGCCAAGAAGGCATGAACCTGGACATGTTTGCAATTATATTCACAAGGGGATGCCCTAAGAAGGCATGAACCTGGACATGTTTGCAATTATATTCACACAAGGGGATGCCCGTCACGTGTGCGGTCGGGGCCAACAGGAGAGAGGAGGGGGGGGGGAGAGGAGGGTAGGGGGGGACTGCAATGAGAACGAATCCTCTGCCAGAGCATGGAAAACAGTTTTGGTGAGTAGTGGAGCGAGGCCCTCTGTCAGATGTTCGA